GCGTGATAGGCTCAGAAATGAGGATATCCGCAGTAAAACCAGAGTGACCGATATAGCCCAACGGATTAGTAAGCTGAAGTGGCAATGGGCTGGCCATATAGCTTGAAGAACCGATAACCGATGGGGAAGAAAGGTTCTCGAGTGGCAGCCTCGTACCGGTAGGCGTAGTGTAGGGCGACCCCCCACTAGATGGAGTGACGACCTGGTAAGACATGCAGGAAGTCGATGGATGCAGGTGGCTCAGGACCGTGCTTTGTGGCGTTACTTGGGGGAGGCCTATGTTCAGCAGTGGACTTGTGAAGGGCTGTAATGATGAATGATGATGATGACGAGACTTAATGACATCTTAAAATTGTGGAGCGTTTGAGTATTTGGCCATTAGACACTAATATGCATACATACTTTGTAAATATTTCCTGTGAATGATACATAGTTATTACCCGACTTCCTCAAAGGGCAATGTTTTCCGATTGTAATGTATGTATTTATGTACATACTTATATACTATGATGTTTTATTTGGCACGCTCTGTAGCATGAATGGAACTTAACATATTATAGAGTGAATAAAACCATTTATACGGATTTTATCGCGTTTAATTAACTTGTTTTTAATTCCAGACGTTTCGGGTGCTTTACAGCACTCATGGTCACAGTCGATTACTGAAGGTAGACGGGCTATGACATTGGGATGTCAAACATTTCAGTTTTCACCGTGACCATGGGTGCTGTAAAGCACCAGAACCGTCGGGAATTAAAAATAAGTTAATTAAACGCGTTAAAATCCATATAAGTGGTTTAATTCAATGTGTAGTGTTCGCGTAAATTTAAGAAATCATTATATTGTGGAATGTTGTTAAACTTTTAATGCAGTCGGGTTTCTTTAAATGACTGTTTTAACCATTTTTCGTTTAGATTTAACGCTTCACAATTAGAACACACGTTATAGTACTCTTTTTGTTATTTTGCTATTGTCTGTTATCTAAAATTAGTTCAATATACCACGGCTTGAACTACTCAAAAGAAACGGACACACAGAAAAACATCAGCTGTGGTTCGACACGATATTATTTAAGAAAGTTTTAAGATAAATAAATAAGTAATAGGTTTTTACCTATGCAATTGCGGTTCTGCAGTACTGGTTATTTCAAAACAACATAATTTTTGTTTGGCTAAAAATTTTAATTTCAAATAAATTTTATTTTAAAAACTTGGATATCTTTTTCCAAAATTAGTATAAATTAAGTTATAAGCTTTTAATCAATGTTCAGTAATACATAAAGTATGAATATTGTTACTATTAATTAAGAAAAATTCAATTTCTAGCTCTTAGCCTATCACACCTTGTATATTCTGATGCACAAGGTGTAAACAATTTTTATTATCATTTTGTAGAGTAATACAATTGCAATTATTAAGAGTTTATAGTAAGCTACATTCTAAATTATTTAAATTATTATAACTGCTAGAGATTACCTCTACGGTCTCAATTTCTAATTTAAATTACTTGAAACTGATTCCAAATTGCATGTCAAATCATTATGCTGCTCAATAGGAGCAGATGTCTGGGTAGCCAAGTCCTTGGCTGAGTTAATATATAAATAATAAGATAAGCACATTTGCTATCTGTCTTAAATTATATTTGGATAGGTAATACCTATCTGTAGTCAAAAATTTCTTACTTAAATTATTAATGTATAATTCAATTATTATAATTGTTACAATTAAACGTCAACTTAAAATTATTGTTACATGACAAATTATTCATGAATAAATTTAAATCATATCTTATTTTATTCTCCTGTGGCCAACCCCGTATGTAAGGTAATGTAAACAAGATAATTTTAGGTACATGTACGGCACACAATATCCATGGCGTTTATGGAGCGAATTCTACAAAGCAAACGAACGCACCACCTGTTATTGGTTTGCCCCTTCTATTCTGGAAATATCGACCTGAAAAATGAACCTTGTGGTCCTCCAAAAACTTTGGTCGACAATGACGAATTAAAGGTGATTTTGGAAGCTGATGATAATCAATCTATGGCTGAATTAGCACCACCTTTCATTGGCATCAAAACAATATTGATCCATTTGACAATCGCAAGCGCTCAGCAAGTTGGTTGGGCTCTGGTTCTCTCTAGAAAAGAGATGTTCACTGTTTGGTGGTCTATCGCCGGTGTGATTCATCACAGCTTTATACCAAACGAGGTGATCATTACTGCAGATGTGTACTGTGAAGAAGTGAACACAATAATGGAGAAGCTCGCACGTCTCTAACCAGCACTGAGCAATCGTTCGTCTCTGCTGCTCCTGCACGACAACGGGCGACCTCATACCGCACAATAGACAGTCCCTAAGTTACAAGAGCGGTGGTTGACAGTTCTCCTTCATCCGCCGTACTCACCAGACCTTACAGACTTCTACTTTTTCCAGAATTAGGATAACTTTTTGGTGGAAAAAAATTCAATATCCGACAGGCAGTATAAAATGCCTTTGAAGAATTTGTTGCCTCCCATCCATCTAATTTCTTCAAGAAGGGCATCAATAAACTGGCATTCCGTTAGCAAAGATGCACTGATGGCTTTGATTAATAGAGATGGGCAGAATATTCGTTTTATATTCGGTATTCTGCATATTCGGCAGCTTTACCGAATATTCGTATTCGGCCGAATATTCGGTTAAATCACCGAACATTCGTTAAAGTAGTACTCCAAGTATCCACTGTATTGAAATGTACGAATTCAGTAATGCCATGTCTAATAATTTTACCGTTGAAAGTATTATGGTAGTATAGTATATTTATGGGTAAAATCTACCTATGTAGCGTTATGTTTTTGAGGCACAAAAATATAGCAAATAGAAAGCTTGATATTTTTTTTTGGAATCATACAAAAAAAACATTACTTTACATTAGTACATTTCACTTTACTTTGATCCTTAGTTTCTCTAAAATAAGTTCAAATAGTAGATATCCTGCTGCTTATTTTTATCATATAATTATCAATTTTCACTAAGAATAAAACAACGAAATAATTTTTTTGACAAAAATAGTCAAAAAACAAGCATGTGCCGGCGAATTGTTCAGTACTAGATGATGCAATAACATATCATATTGCGGAGGAGCGAGGGGAAGGGCTCGGCGCTAATGCTGCGCGCTTTATAGTAACAAGTTTCCACATAAATTGGTTAGGTACCGAGGTGATCCTGCCGAATAATGTTCGGCCGAATATTCGGTTCGGTAAAAGTTTAACCGAACGTTCGGCCAAATATTCGTATTCTGTGAAATCCATATTCGGCCCATCTCTATTGATTAATAGAAATAAAAAATAAAGAATAAAAATTACATTAACTTAGTTCATTAAAAACGTCAATATCGTAAGTAGACCTAATATATGGAGACGTCATTATGTGGCGAAATATTATTCTTTCTAATAATCGTTATCCGGCGAGGCTTAGTAGTGTTAAGAAAATAGTAAAAACAAAAATAGACAAGCATCAATCAATAAAAATCATAAAAAAGATTAAGTTGACAAAATATCACAAGCACTCTAAAATATTACACTCGCCTTTGGATTCTATAGTCAGCTTGTCTTAACTAGAATTAGGATAAAAGATATCAAACAGCATAATTAAATATATAAATATCACACATCATAAACAAAGTATAAATTAATTACTAACAATTCCTATGGATTCAAGTTGTTCGAAATAAACATTTTTATTTTATTTTTTATTATTATTTATTTATTATAATCGTTTCTAACAAATTTCTTTAAAAAAAAATCTATAAGACTCATTTGTACCTTTTAGTGCAATTGAATGGAAAAAACAATCAATCATTCGCGTTCACAAATCAAATATGCACCCGAAATTTTACAAAACATTCGCATTGGCTACTAGATTAATACATTTGCAATTTACTGCCTAGCATTGCCCGTTTCAAATAATCATATTTATCCTGATTTATTAGCAGAAATTCGCATCAACTTTAAGTTCATTTATAACAGCCTGAATTGACTGTCTCACAGAAGGAGGGGGAGCGAATATTTGCATAGATACCATACTTGACAGGTAGCTTGATGGCCTCTGTCTTTTTATTAACATTATTGTGTTGTTATCAGAAAGACGGTGCTGTCCAAACTCCTGTTCTAGTTTCCCTCCATCACCTCTTACGACATCCATGGGATCAATTGCTATTCATCTGTAAATACCAAAAGGAAAAGCCAAAAAGCAACAATTTGGTATGATTCTCTAACTTTTTGATTTGTCGTGGATAGAATTAGAAAACCAGATTTTAAGGAATTCCTTCCTTGTATGTTACCAAATATAATCTGTTTAAAAATATAATTTTCAATATAACAAAAAAAAAAAAAAACAGCGACTGAGGTACATTTTTGAGGACAAATGGCAACACCAAATGGAAGGCTGTAGTCTCTGCCTACCCCTCTGGGCAGGACAGGCATGACTGCTTAGGTATATGTATGTGAAATCTTGTGTCTTACTTGTTGACTAATAGTCTTTTCTCATTTTATTATTTTTAGTACATTTGGGGATTGCTAAAGAATGGAAGGATCGCATCGCACTAAAAACAATATTATAGTAACCGTTATCAAATTTAAGAAACCGATTCCATTTCGCAACATATCTAATATATAAAAATTAATGTTTATTTGTTCATATTTACTGGCATACCGTTCATCAGATTGCGGTAAAACTTTGTCAACTTATTGCCGGCACTTCCGCGAAGGTTATAGGCATAGTACAATTAAATAATATAAATTAACTTACACTAGGTGGCGCGTGTATCTTACCGACAATTTATTTGAGAGTTAGGATCATTCCATTTCAATGATTGTATTATCATTCCTAATCAAACATAACTTTTCCAAATTTAAAAAAATATTTCCACAATTATTTTTTCTGCAGCAGCAATGCGCCGGGTACCAGCTAGTGTGGGCACTAATTCTAAGATTAAAAATTAAAGTGAATAAGATTTACCTCATAAGTGGGATTGTTAGTAGCCCTAGAAAGTTCTCGAAACTCCAGTTGCACAGTGGTGACCTCCGCCGTTGTGCTGTAATGCGACCACTCCGGCGCGTGGGCAGTTCTTGTACCCAAATTTACATCGGAGTACGGAATACCAGACGGAGAGGAAAATGCCGACATGAGACGATCGCCCAAGTCTTTCTGTAAAAAATAAATTCAATGAATTAGTACTTATTATGTACAAATAATTTTATACTTAATAATTTACGCTATCAAGAACATAACTTGTAAAAAAAAACCAAGTCTCGCAACTCAGTTCTTCTACCGTAAAAAGTTGTGAGATCCATGTAATACCAAGTCGGTTAATTTATTCAGTCCCTACTTAAGGGTCCTTCTGTTTTAATTTATTACATAATTAGGTAACCTACCAACATCTTATAGTGGCAATATCAATGTTAAAATTCCTTTTATGTTTTAAAGAAATAGATTGACTTGGCCATCGAATTAAAACACAATGTATCTCACAAGTAATACATATTATATTAAATTAGTGTTGCTTAGTGCGATTGCCAATTCATTCACTGCAAATGTAACTTTGTAATTTTACATATTTATATGGGATTACAAAGTTATTTATGTAGTTGGTGTATCTAGAAAATTGGACCGAAATTGAAAAATATTTTAGTTTTTCATTGTTTTATACACTAAACACTAATTGTATTCTAAATTTGAAGCTTCTATGTCTGCTAGAAGTGCCTTAGAGTTTTGATGATCGGCCAGTCAGTGAGTGACAAAATTAAGAAACTTTGACTAGTTACAATTCTTAAACTACTGGTTCAAATTGAACGAAATTTGAAATATACTATGTTTATATAATGTCTAATTGGTTACTGAAAATTCAGGCTTCCAGTTATATCCACAACGAAGTTATAGGGGGTCGAATATGGCCTGAACTGCTTCGAGAAAAGTATGGTTACGGCCGTGCCGCTTTTTCACTCGACTTAGCGGGGGCACTGCCGTGCCCCCAGATTATGTAAAAATGCAGCAAATGCAGTTTGTGAGAATGCTGAAAGAAACATACCTATTCATAAGTTACATACTTTGAAAACCATATTAGTGGATAGATACTGATTATAATTGTGTGACCTTCCTCACAGTTATTATAGTTGCCATGTTTGGCAATCGGGTTAGCAAACGCAGTTTATTACTATTATTGAGGTGATATAGCAGGAAGTTGCTTCAGCATAAATCTAATGTTTCAATTTCTCTCTGTCGTCTCCAATAATATCCACGCGAAAAAATAGAGTAATGGATTATATTATGCCGCCAGCCGCCGCCATCCGACAAAAACCGTCAAATTGAAACTCATTAAATGATTGATTAAAACTACTTTTACGGGTAATCCGTCCGCATCCGTAAAAGTAGTTTTAATCAATGTGTAGTGTTCGCGTAATAAGAAATCATCATTAAATGATTCTTAAAGTAACAGAAATATTATTTAAAAGACGAAATAAACAAATTACTATCATTTTAAATATTTTCATTATGAAATTTTTAATGAATCATCAAAATTATAATAAAACATTCAAAACTGGCTATTATTATTTATTCACATATCAATCAAATTAAATACATATTACGGACACTTACGGCCTTGTTGAGGAACATAGCATCCTGTGTGAAGTGGTAATTAGAGAGCAGAGCGCCGAGAACACGTATCGTGACCTCGAAGAAATTCACGTCTTTATTTTTCGTAAATATCAGCTCCTCTTTAATCCATTTTCTGCCCTCTTCGTATTCTGTGAATGAATAATAAATAATAGAAACATTCATTATAAAAACCTTGTATTATTGTAGTAATACTGTATGCGTTTGCAAATTGCAATAATTTATTTAAATACTTTTATTAGCTTCGCGTGTATCTAACATCTATCTATGTAACAGAACCTTTTAATGTAATTTTCACAAACTTGTAGACAACCAATTGGCTTGAAAATTGGCACTCCTATAAAGGACCAATGACAATCTTTTAATAACTTTATTCTAGTATGCTGATCTGGATCACCAGGTTGAAATGAAATAATCACACGCTTTACATATTAGCTTAACCTATATGTATGTATTAATTTATTGCAATTTTGTAATTCAATTTTCATCCACTTCTAAAAACCTGATTGATTTGAAATTTTGCAGACCTATAATTAACCGCTCACAATACAATAATTTCATGACTATGACCTAAAATCATCACAGCTCACGATCAATGCGTGTTAAGTTTTTTTAGGCTCTAATAATATTGTGAGAAATATTCGCGGATAGATGTATATCGGATGAATAATATAAAAACGCATAGAGGATGAAAAAAGAAGCAAATGTTCATTCTATGTAGCTTCGGAGTATACTTGAGGACTTGATCAGTAATGATGATGATTCTATGACATCGTTCACAATCAGATTGACAGTTCATCTTAATGTCCTCCAGACCAAATTTCGGTCACAAGTCTGCACAGGACAGGATTAAACCACACAAATGTAAGGTATGTGTGGTCTGTACTTGGCAGAATTTTGGGTTGGCTATTTTTACCTTTTCTACTTTCACTACTTTAGCTTTATTATAAACTTATATATATTAATAAGTGATTTCAGGCTTTAAATAATTATTTTTATTCTTTAAAGAAAGTAATTTGATTTGTATAGAGAATTTGTAACAATTTAATTGAGGGTCACTCTGTACATACTCTCACATTTTATTGCATTTTCCCTAAACATTTTTATAATATAACACCGGCATTAAAACCATTTTAAATTAATTGCATCTATAGCTTACCATCAGTCAATCCCATAATATATGCTGTATCTAACGCATCAACAATAGTAAGACCCAGTGAAAACCAGTCATAGGCCATTCCTGAAATAGGTTTTAAGTTATCATGTCCCCATGCATGCTCTTTGTACCCTCGCCATGCATGCTTGAAACTCTCAACAACAGCATACTGACGAGCATTTGTTGGCCCTGAAAACAATAGTTATCATTAAATCCTTAGTGTGTTCCCCTCATTTAAGACGGTAATGAACGGCATGTGTTTTTATATCTCTGAGCAGAATAATACATATGATAGTTAAGGCATTGATAATGATGCTCAGCTTTGAAAAAATCTAGTAGACTGTAGACAAGCTAGCAAAGCCCTGCCTGAAATAAACAGTCATTAAACCAAGGTTCTAATGAGACTGAACAAGCCGCAGAACAGGATAGTAACAAGTGTCATCATAGGACATAGCGCCTTAAACAAACATTTGTTTACCATAGGTGTTACAGATAGTCCCCTGTGTAGGGCATGTATAGGGGAGGAAGAAACGGCAGCCTATGTGTTGCTGACATGTCCACAGGTCACTGCATACAGAACTACACATCTCGGCACGCTGGAATTACTCTCCGAAGTTGCTTGCGACCTTAAAGAACTGTTGAACTTTTTCGGGTAGATTTCATGCCTCGAATCATTACATTATTTCTGCTCACACGCAAAATACGCGCTTAAACGTGGAGTTGCACAAAACAGTCCGTCTAAACTAACTAACTATGGCATTGATGGTGTCGTCCCATTCATGGACAGTTGCAAGTAACTTTAGTCAAAAAAGTTTTAGATATTGTCATCTTTTAGAATCAAGTTGAAATACTTATTTTTCAAACTTGAACTGGGTAGGATGTATTTATGTGTGGTGTTATTTAGATTTAAAATAATTATCAAAGACGTTTTTTTTTAATGTAATTCTTATTGAGTCATTTTTATTTTACTACTTTTTTTTAAACTTGTTACTTTTTAAAAAAATAGTGATAATGGCAAGCAAATATGCCTCAGCTCAATTTAAAGCTGCTTTTTTCAATATTAAAGTTGGATACTACAATTTTTTATATGTGTGTATAGATTATGAACATTAAGATAATTATACCTATTTGTGAGCTTATAATAAAAAATACCTGTAAATGTTGGCCTGTCATTTGGTTCACTTTGAACAGTCTTTTTAGTTTCAATAACTGCAGCTAGTGCTTGTTCATTGACTAGAGAAGCATTATGCAGGGTATCCTAAAAAAGGGGTAGATTTTCATTAAACTTATGAAGTACCATTTTCCAGCAAATCCTCTTAAAAAATACTGATGTATTTTAAAATACCATGCATACATGGTGCCATGCCGAAACACATTCATACCACATACCAGTGTGCTGCCAGCTAATAGACATAATAACAAAAACTTAAGTTGAACAATTTAATTTTTCTATAGCCTTCAAGTTAAAATTTTATAAAAAATACAATGTTTTGTTTATGGTTGGTTATAAATAGCTCAAGGAACCAAAAGTATTTATAGGCTAACAGCACCAACATCATCGAAAGCAGAGAGAAAGTATTTGAGAGGCAGTCTGCTGTCTACTCTGTCTAGTAATGGCTGTAAAATGGGCATAGAGTAACAATCATGTCTCAAGCCTTGGATGTGGGTCCAGAGTTTGAAGTCCTAGTCTAGCCAAAATGAGTGAGTAACCCATTCACTCATTTTCATCTCTGTCAGAAATTGTCATTTGCAGACTAGAGTCAGAAACTTGGCGGTATTTCACTCCCGTGTCTCGGAAAACACATGATCCTGTTGGAGCTGCACCTGATCCCTCACCGGTTATATAGGATTGTCACCTCATCGGATTACAAAAGTGATGGAACCCAGAATGCATGCATTCTCTGTTTGTTCAAATTGGCCACCGAACTGGAATTTAGCCTGGAGGACATAATCAACTATGCAGCATACGGCAGCATACAGTGAGTTAAAGGATGGTCTAGACTTTTTACTTGGTAGAGCAATGCTGCAGCGTTGCTTCTTGTTGTAATTGTTACTCACCATTAAGTTGGCAATCCACTTAATGGCAACTATACCCTATGGGAAACAAGAACTTCTAAAAAACAAACAACAAAAAATGTGTTGTCATCCCAGAGGGTTAAGATAAAATGCTTCAGTCTATTAACATAGCCTTATCTTCAAATTTGAGCACAACACCACTGCAGTAAATAATGGACAATGTAAGTGAAGCTTAAACTAATGTACTATAGTGTAATTTATGGCTTTATATTCTTATATGTTATGACAACTAGCAAGACATACTTTTGAGAAAAATGTAAATTAGTTTACCTGTACTGCATTAATTGCATTGTCCTTGTTTACATCCGAAGCCCCCACTTTTGATGTATAAAGTAATACTAAGAGAGCTCCAGTTATTATAAATAAGGCATACACTAATGATCTTTGAAGGCGGGACAGACGATTCCATCTCTGTAATATATGTTCAATTATATTTATGAACCTAAGTACATTGTAAGACATATCTTTGGCTATGGTTTAAAATGTACATATTTTATATCTACATAATTTATACATTTATATAAGTTAGGTGTAACTGTAAATCAATAAGTAATTCTATAAATAATACATTAGTAACTTCTTTGGAGTTAGAGTTGATTGTGGCAGCAATTTGTGAACTGTACAATTTAAATAGAACCTCAAATCTGAACTACCAATGGAAATGAGTAGCACTTGTACTGTGTTACTCATTTAAATTGGTGTGCTAAATGATAAGAATCACAAATAAATTTGGACAAAAATAGAAATACAAAAAAATCAAACTCAGCAAAAAGCTACTTTTGGGATACTAAGAGTTAAACTTTGCATTGATATGTAGTAATAATGTTGTGCTACAATTAGCTAAAGCAAAGTGACACAAGTTGCAAATTGTACTGCAGTTATGATAACTTCGGCCAAGTTCTCAATAAAAAAAATGTGTATAGTAGTCCTTACCCTTATAATTTTTCTATGTGATATGGATGGATCAGTTAAGTCTAGGTTGCTCCATTTGTTGAGGCTGTTATGTGGAGTTGTTGTAAGAAGACCTTCTTCAAAATCTATTTGTGTATCCACAGGTAGCCCTTTCATTTTGAGTAAACTTTCTATACTTATGTTTTTTATCACAGCTACAAAAGTATTGCCAAACTACATCTGTAATTAAAAACTACAATTACTATTATCATCTGTGTACTGTATTCACAACTGGAAGGAGTTTTGGCAGGAACATGGCCAGTGACTGATTGCTGCTCCTGTATTATTGATTAATTAATGATTTGAAGTAGATTTTGATACAAAAAAGTAGTGTGTTTTTGTGTATTACATGTCTGATCATATGAACTATTAGTGAAAATTGTGAATTTAAGTGCTCCGTTGGTTATATGAACCTCAAGATAAGGTGTCTGCTGGTTCAAGCGGTTGTCAATATCTCCCAAAAACTTTGCAATGTGGCAAACAACATTATTTCATCATATTGTGAAGCATTGTACTATAAAATATTACTATTACTTGATACTAAAAATCTATATAAATGAAGACCCCGAATGAAATGAAGACATGGCAGCTTAAAAAACAAGCATCAAAGCCTACGATCTTGCTAAAGAAATCACAGCTGGAGATGGATCTCTTCCATAGTAGCAAGGATTTTGCTTTAATTGCCGTAGTTTGGCAAATACTATACAAGCCTTCAGCCTGTGTAGATCCGATGAAGTGATTGTTATTGGGTGATGTTTATGTTGTTCTCAGATCTTCTTGGTTTTTAATAAAATTTAATGTATCCTTGGATGTAGTTTGACAAACAAAAACTAAAACGTTTTTTTGCGAAAATATTGCATATAATTCTAATATCAAATCAAACCTAAAGCCAAAACTAAATTGGTACAGTTACATTGGCAATTAATTTGGTATCTATATATGACTGCTGTTACTGTTTATACCCAGATTGTTGAAAATTTATGTAAGACATGAATTTACAGGCTTATTTTGCTGCTATTTATCAACATTATATCAAGTGAATAAATTACCTATTACAAATGTAAAGGCCTATTCAGCAGTGGACTTGTGATGTGCTGTAATGATGATGATAAATGTACATTTAAAACAATTAAATATGATGCAATCGTTAATTAAAATGATGGCTACGTAAAACAGGAATTTAAAATTTAATATGTTATTTGTAGTACTATTAATTTTCGGAAGAAATGTATCCTAATGAAAATATTATTTACCAGCACATAATGACTTTATACTCTTACTCTAATACTATAGGTAGGTATCTAAAAAAGAGAATTTGAATTCAGTTTTCGAATTTGTGTAATTATAGTCAGGTGTTTCCTACCATTGGCGAATTATTGTTCCACGTCTACTAGTTAAAATTGTTAATATAATTTAATTCTTTACAAAGCCACAAGTAGAAATAAATAATTTTATAATAAAATTTGAAAATTTATCTAATTAACTTATTTTTAACTTGAACTAAAATGTATGTTACACTTTTATATATGTACCTTACGTTTAGCTTGCTACATATTTATATATCTATGCTTACGTTTATTTTTATAATTTGTAAGTAATTTGATGGAAAACTAGGTAATTATGAGTATGAGACGAGATTTGAAATTTTTAACCTAATACTATAAAACTAGGTATCACACTAGCGAATAGCGATTTGCGATGTCGTCCATGTCTATTGTCTATGATCCATGTCAATCCATGTCACATATAGAGGGGTCAGTGATCCATGTCCAGTGTCCTGTGCAGTGTGACCATCATTAAACTAAAGATACTGCCTTACTTTGTCTAAAAACCTGCCAGAATCTGCCGAAGTCTGTAGTGAAAAATGCCTAAATACTGCTAACTTTATTTACCATTGTATATATTAATTATATATTGTATATATTATATATAGTATATATTAACATTGTATAGGCATTTTGAGTTACCATAATGAAATCTATTTTTAATACCCCAATACTGCCAGGTCATATAAAACATCAACCATTCACACCTAAGGCAAAAATAAGTGGCCAATCCTGCCAAAATGGCAGGAATCTACCACATATGGTCACACTGGTCCTGTATCCACTCGAGCAGTGTTGTTATTATAAAAATCTGCCGTATGTCACAATTTATAGTTTACCGCATGGAGGTTAAAGAGAAGGAGAAAGATCGCTACGTGTTATGCATAGCCTGCCTGTCCCTGAACTGCCGTCGGTAAGTAGTATCATCGAAGTTAGCTGTTTATAAGTACAAGTAGATGAAGTTAGTTGAATAATGTACAAATTTTCTTCGTGGCACTGGTGAGAAAATAATCGTGCTCCGTATTTTTTTCATTTTTGAATAAAAGAAACATTAAAAAATGGTGGAAAATTGTATTGTGCGTGGATATGCAAGTGGTTTAGCATCTGATCGGGAAAATAGACTGAAAATGGCTTTTATTAAGACAACTTTGCGATCGCAGCGCCTCACTTATTTTGTCCATGTTTCTGGGACACTATTTTCTACAGCGATCTTTCTCCTTCTCTCTAACCTCCATGGTTTACCGTAAGGAAAAAATTACAAAATTTTCGTATTTCATTGCCTAATTTAAAAATGTCTATTCCTCATTTGTTTCTCCGTCGTAAAGGTTTCTTTATACTCATTGTCGTTTTGCATCCTACGTCGTGCATGTACATGACCTTAGCGGGACGTACAGCAAGATGGACCGTGAATAAGACATTTAAATGGATGTGGACCTACAGCTCCACAAGAATAATTCAGTTTTTGAATGAATCCTCACTCTCTGTTGTCCATACTTCTGTTTTATATTCCCCCTTTTTGTCTTTCTGGTGATGTAGGGCCTTATTCACATTCACAACCCTTGGACCGTAAATTTAACTGGAATATACACATAGAAAACAAAATCAACAAAGTTATTATAACTTTCTGATAATGCAGGAACATGATTGGCAAATGATGGGGTTTGGCGCCAAAAATTATACTATGGCTGTACAAAACTGTAATTCGGCCCATGATCACGTTCGGTTCTCTGGTGTGTTCTCTTGGTTTTGTGGACCAAAACTTAAAAGCTTCAGCGTTTCCAGAGATCGGCATGTGTGGATGCCACGAGCTGCATAAGAACTATACCGACAGCAGCTGTCGGCTGTATTGGAGCTAACCCCGCTTCATCTACATATACAACAAGAAGCCTTTAGCTGCCATTAGACTCAAGACCCTAAACCTTTTAAGTAAGAGTAGAGTACCCCATACAGGTATAATTGATATAATTCACTCAAAAATTCCTATCTTACAAGCCAAGTACGATAAGATTCCAAAACAGCTTGTATTCGATAAGAAGTATAAGATACAATTAAATGAAACTGACCAGCCGGAGGGATTAAACCCAAAAGAGCTTAGAGTTTTCACGGATGGTTCTAAAACAAATGAAGGTGTAGGATCTAGAACTTTCTCTGAAGACCTTAATATCCACACACAATATATGTATACCACTGGGTACCCATAATACAGTCTTCCAGGCGGCATGTATGGGTATCATCCAAGCGGCCATAGCAATAGATGCCAGACAGAAAAAGACTTCTCCATCAGAATACTGACTGACAGTATGGCGGTACTACAAGCTCTGAGTTGTAATGTGATGAACTCGGGACTAATATATGAATGCTATGAACGATTAAATGAGGTGTGTAAGCACAAAAATGTGACTCTGCAATGGATTGAGGGGCAAAGTGGATCTTGAAGCAACGATGCAGCAGATGAACTGGCCAGAAGGGGTCGGCTCTGGTCACTATAGGGTCGGAACAAACAATACCAATACCCTTTGGTTACATTCGTTCACTGGTATGTCGAAAATTCAATAATTTATACGCTCAACTTTGAAAACATTTAGTAGACTGTAGATAAGCTCAAAAGCAAACCAAGATCAGGATAGTAACAAGTGCTCAATTAACAAGTGCGAAATCACAGGACATGACTCCTTTAACAAACATTTATTTACCATAGGTGTTACAGATAGCCCACGCCACGTCACGTGTTGCTGACATGTCTGGAGGTCGCTTCATACAGGGCTAAACATCTCGGCAAGCCAGGATCGCTCCCGAAGTTGCTTGCAACATCAAAGGACTGTTGAACCTCATCGGGGAGATTTCATGGCTCGAATAATCACATTATTACTTTCCACACGCAAAATACGCGCTTAGACGTGGAGTTGCGGCAAACAGCCCGTCGTAAACCAAACTAAATTAAACTATTGTGCAGCGCCGCCTCAGCACGCCGCATTTTGTCAAAGGCGCGACATCTTACTCCTTTCTAAAGGGCCGGCAGCGCACCTGCAATTCCCCTGGTGTTGCGGTTGATCATGGGCGGCGATAGTCACTTAACATCAGGTGAGCCGCATGCTCGTTTGCCCCCTCTTCTATAAAAAAAAACATTAAAGTTCGTGCTGTAAAGCACCTAAATAGTCGGGAATCAAAAGTAAAAATTAAACGCGATAAAATCCGTAAGATTAAATTCATTTAATGTGTAGTGTTCAAAAAAATATAAGATGTCATTATTGTAAAGAATCATCACCTTCCATACATTTAAAGACCTGATAGTGAAAGTTTATGTATTGTTATAAGGTATAGTAGAAAAACTACATGTAAGTTTAGAAAATGTATTCATTTTCACGAAGCCCTAAAAATATTAATGTCACTTTTTAGATTAGGATTTTGCAAATGGGTAATAGAGAAAAAAAGTGCTAGAACTTATTAATAACGCTCGAAGTTAAGATAAAAATACTTACCTAACTATGTCTAAAACGTCTTTTTTATTTTGTGAATTCCTAGAAACCAACTGGCCCTAAGTCACCGCATACTCTCGATGACTGTCACCATAAATAAGTGTCGAGCACTATCTGCTGTTTGTTCAGCAAACATAAGTACTTACTAAATACGCTTTTAGTAAAAAAAACAATAGATAGTTTCTATATTTCTAAAAAGTCTAACTTAGTTCTTGTATTGCCAAAATGATCGCTTATCAACCAAACACATTTAATTGTCGTACGGTACATACTTACATACATACTTGATGAACAAAAGGGAAAAACAAATAAAGCA